CCCCTCCTCGTCGAAGTCTTGAACCACTTCGGCGTGACAGTCGGCCAGCTTCACCCGAATTCCATTCGCAACTTGGTGGGGACAATCTCCCTTTTCTGTGATGAGAGCTTTCCGTTGGACTTGGAGATTTTTTCTTCAACCTTGATGCTTAAGAAGCAAACGGGTCCCCTCCCCGGGCGTAGGCGGGCATACTACCTGTCTCCTCGCCCGGGCTTTAAGCTTTTACTTGAACTCCCCAACAAGGTCCCAGCATGGAAGCGGGACTATTTCGGGGTGCGAAGTGTGCTGGGGTGGCCATTTCAGACCGAGTGGGGGATGGCCGCTCCTGACTCCGGGGTCACGCTTGACAAAGAGACAGCGAAGGGCCTCCGGCAATGGGCGCGACTTGGGCTGAGGTGTCAACAGTATCTGACGGAGGTCAAGCTCATTGCGGCCGGCCTGAGCTCGGGTAGGTTCTTCACTTAGAGATTCTGTCTTGCTGTCTTTCTTGCTTTTTACTGATGGCGAACTTCTTTTCGCAGGTGTGATGGACTCTCGAGGGTCCCATGGTGGGCACTTGTTCCAAAGCATGAAGAGGAGAAAGTGGGTTGCCAAGCGAACTCGCGCCGAGATGCCCCGGGATGCGGAGCCCGAGGTGCCGGCCTATCCATCAGAAGATCTGCCCAGGGAGCCCGAGATGGCTTCTCCAATGCAGGAGCTGGCAGGGGTCCCTTATGTTGAGACTACTTACACAGGGGCTCCTACATAGTACGGTGCTCCTGCTAACTCCAGGTCTGCTCATACGCGAACTGGGCCCTCAGGCTCGGGGGATTTCAGGAGTGTGCTATCGCCGACCCATGCTCTTCAAAAGAGTAAGGAGGCCATTTTCCCTGAGGAGGTCGCGGCGTGGACTGATCTCCCTCTGCATCAAGTGGCCTGTCGTGTCGTTACCCTTTCGTTTTGTTGGTTCTTTTGATCACTCGGTTCTTTTTGGTAGGTGAATTCTTCTATTCACGCCTTGGCGGCTCAGGTGGAGAGGAGCTCGAGGCAGGCGTGAGCTGCTAAAGAGGCTCGTCGCGCTGCCGAGGAGGCTGCTCGTTTTTCACGGATCAAGCAGGCAAGGTCTCGAAGAGATGCCAAGGCCATGGGAGTGGTGGTGAAGCACATGGCAGACTTGAGGCTGGATCTGCAGCATCAGGTTGAGTACCTTCAGGAGGACATCARGGAGAGGAYGYAGATCTTTTCTCAAGGTATCGAAGATGCCAAGAAGAAGGCTGTCGATGAGTACATTGCTTCGCCGGGCTTTGATGATTTGATGGTGGATTCATACAGGAGGGGTTTTAAACTAAGCCGGTGGATGATCTGGAATACGTACCCCGAGCTCGATATTWRCGCCATATCCACTTCGCRCATAACTCAGGAGATGGCCAATGCTGCTGACGGTGAGCCAGACTCCGAGGGCGAGGCGGGGCCTTCGGGTATTGTTGAASTGCCTTCTGATAATGAAGAAATAGCTCCGGGCTTGTAAATTTTTTTTTTAAATGTACTACCTTACTTTTGAAA